GGGGGGGATTATTATGGTTATTATAAGCATTATCTATTATACCCCTATTAGACTCCCTACTATTTATGCGTGAACGGCACACTGACGACAAGTTTATAAAATGGATTTCCCTGACTTTCTGGAGGTCTGGCATGGCCGGTGTCAGTCGGCCCAGATTGGCACTACGTATCTCCCTGGTATGTTTGTCTGGCGTCTTTTTTCGGAAGCGTTAGACTCCAGATGTCAGATTTCTGTCCAGTAGTCGCTCAAATGGTCTTATAAAGGTTTTTTTCATCCATCGGTTAAGTTTCCCTCTCAATCGGGTACCATGATGCAAGTTCAAGTGCTCCTCACTATGGAGTGATTTTTTGTGTGCCTATTAAGGTAATATGCGCGGGTGTTTGGAGGGCGCCACTGTTAGGTCCTACTTCTTTTTTTTTTTCCCTCTTTGTTGTGTCTGGCTATCTGTTTTACTTCTTCCTTGTACTAATAACTTTTATTATGTCGATGTGCTTCTCTTTACTTATACTGGGAGTTTGCCTCTTAGTCGGGTATCATGACGAAAGTTCAAGCGCCTTCCACCATGCCATTGGAGCGACCTATTTTGTACCCATTTTTGGTATTATGCCAAGAACGATGTCTAAATAGAATTCTAAATAAAAGATAATGAATTGGATAGGGTTGGGTAGGTCTAGCTTTAATTCCATCCGTTTGTTGAATAGAATTGTTTGTCTTGCATTTTTTAAAACCAAAGCTTGTTATTCATTATTGTTAAGCTCTTAATTGTTTTCACCCAGACTAGCGAGCAAACCAGTTCTACTTCCAGCTTTCTGAACCGAACAGGAAGCATCTAACTCGACAGTAATGTGAACTAAACATACGATTGATTGAAGTCGTAGATGTTTGAGGGCGCTCTTAAGGTTTGCTAGTTCTGTCCCCATCAAATGGCATTCTCTTTTCTTCCCTTCTTTGTTTGTTATTCCCTGGTAACACCTTTAATCTTCGGCTCATTATGACCTGTTTGTGTTGTAAGTGCCGTAAAACTCTTACTAAAACTAAACTAAACCAGCTGTCCGAACCGAATAGTGTAGCATCTAACTCGGCAATTATGAGAACTAAACATACAGTCGATTGAAGTCGGCGCTTTGGTAGCTTGCATTAGTATGCTTGCTGAATGAGTCTCTTTGATCCGCGTGAGCAGTGAGCTCTCGTGTCTGAGACCGAGACTGAGAGGAGTCGCTCACGTGCTTGAGAGGTCAGAGGTCAGGGTGAATTGCTCTGCTTCCGCCGCACGTGAGCCGGGACACGTCTGCTGTAATTTTCAGCTCGCTCGCTGGAATGAAAGCCCTTGGGTGGACAGAGCGGTGCTTACTTCATTTACTTCCGGTCAGCTTCTAATCGATCGCGGTTCCATTTTCCTCAGGGATATCCACGATAAGAGGTTTGGCTCGCCGGTCGGACCGTTAAAAGACGACTGCCCACTCGAAACGATCGTTAAATTGACCATTTCCGTTCTCTCGTTTTTGGTTTTGGTTGTTGTTGTTTTTTGTGTGTTCTTCCGTCACAAAAGTGCTTACTTTGGGGTGAGTTTTCTGGCTCTTTTCTTATTTTGCCTCTTTCAAACTGACTTCGCAGGTAGGTAGAGGGCACCACTGGTAGGTCCAGCTTCTTTCCTTTCCTTCTGTTGTTACAGTCAGTCTGTCTTACTTTTTCGCAGCACTGAATGACTTTTGTTGTGTCGATGTGCTCCTCTTTACTAAAAAAAAAAAAAAACTCAACACAAAACACTAACACAAAACCACAACTAACTTCTTAATATTTTGGGCTGCGTCCAGCGGTCAATGTGATGTTGGGAAACAACCTCCAATTAGTTCCAAGCTTTATTTGTCAGTATATTATTCTACTGCGGGTGTTTGGAGGACGCCGTTGGTAGGTCCTACTTCTTTTCTTTCCCTTTATTTTCTTTTTTCTTAGCATTAAGTTGGGGTTTTTGCGTCGGTATGCTTATAATTACTAAAACAAATAGAGAAACAAAGACATAATACTGGAAAATGTCTTTGCTGATGTTTTGCAGATGAGTGAACCAACCACAAGGTCTGGTATTTTTCTCTCAGCCCCTCTGCTTTACGTTAAGTTAGTTTTACTAGAATTACCCCCCCGAAAAAAAAAGAAATTTAAAAAAGGACCCAAACAAACACATAAAAAAACATACACACATTAAAATTTAATGTTGGCTTTTCAATCTTCTGATCTGTAGATACATGTACCATGCTTATTTATTTTTTGTTTTGTTTTGTGGTCTTTTTTTCTTGGTCTGCTGTGCAGTTTTCCTCTTTTCGAAATGGGTGTTGAGGTGTTGTTTGCTCCCGCACCTCTATTCTGTGTCACTGTTGTCCCAATCTGTTCCTGGGAAAATGTAAGTGTTGTTGTGGCGGGATGTTGGAGGGCGCCACTTCCACTTCTTTCCCTAACCCTCTGTTGTTTCTGTTTGTCCGTCAGAATATTGTTTTGGCTGCACTGAGTCATCTCAGTGGGTAGTTGGCGGGTGCTCTTGTGTGGTTTGCTCCTCCTTTCCTATCAAACATCTATTGTCCTTATTTCTCCTCCTTCTTTCTTGTATTTGTTACTCTCTTGTAACACCTCTAATCTTCAGCACCATGACCTCATTGTGTTGCAAGTGCCGTAAAACTCTTACTAAAACTAAAAGTGAGACATCTCATGTTATTGTCAGTATGTTTCTCTTCACTTAAACAGCAAGTATCTTGCTGAATCGCCGAACACAACAAGATTCACACCCAAACCCTCGCTTGAAGTAACAAAGAAAAGATTTTTAAAAAAGAATTATTATGATTTTCCATGTGTTATTCAGATTTCAAGTACTCGTAAACAGAGCAACATCTGTTACCCAATCCCTTTATTCGAATCAGCATTCTTCCGTTCGTTCCATCTGTTGGTTCAAAAAGAAGAAAACTGAAGAAATGGCCCCGTGGGCCGCGCGGGCCGCGTGCCGTCTCTTGGTGATGTTGACTGAAGGATTTCCCGGGCCACCGGTCGTCTCTTCTCTTGGCTGTGGCGCGGCCGCAAGGTGTAGCCTAGGGGAGGACGACGGGAGGAGGGAGGAGGGGGGTACGATGGTATCGATTCTTATTTAGATGTATTAGATGGCTACCGACGGATATATACTATACGTTCTTAATCGTCCCATTACGTCAAAGTTGTCTTTATAAGTGCCATTACTATTATTTTGGGGAAAACCGCGATTGAACAATATCAGTATGTCTTCTTATAGTTTTTTTATGATATAGATATTGTTTGTGTGGTGTACACATTACTATTTTCCTTATCTGGCTGTTTTTTGGATTTTGAGACAATTTTGCTTTCATGGGTCGTTATACTGTCTGGGGGGCTCTCGTGGCCTAGAGGTTAAGGTGTTGGCCTCTCATTCAAAGGTCCCGGGTTCGAATCCGGGTAGCGACCAAAAAATTTTCTTCTCTAAAATTGTCTCCTTTCACCTCCTTTCCTGCTCTTTAGCAATGTTCTATTGTCGGCTTTCATTTCCACTTTCTGCCCCCACCCCCTCACCTTCTTTGCCCCCTCCTCTGGGCTCCTGACTCTTTCTGCAGCCTTTCTACTGCTACTCCTTGGCTCCTCCTTGGCTCCTCCTTACTGCTGTCTTTCTGCCACACCCCTGATCTTCTGGTGGGAAAGATCTACACCTAGCCTTCTCGGAAAAGGGCGAAAAATCTCGGAGGGCCCATGTGCAAGTTGTGCACGTTAAAGATCCCTTGT